ATATAACTTTGTCTTCACATGTGAGAAAGTCTCTTTACATTTTATCGGATCGTGCTCAAATTCTTATAGAAATACTCCAACATTTGAAGTTTATTCCTCGGGTTAATAATAGCCCTAAATGCAAGCACCTCTCTATATTGCCTCAGTACTTATCAAACTTTCCCCACATATTTAAGCACACGTTTCTTATAAGCTCATCCTCATTTGAAACATCATCCATCAACAAACTTTGAATTCTCCAAACTTGCATAAAATACAAGTTCGAAGTAGGATATGATAATAAGAACCGGAGATCAAGTTGATAGTTTCATAAAAAAGTTCAAAGAACTCAAAAATTTTTTAACTCTCGTCCTTTCTTCACTTGAAGGGAAAAATTTGTAGTTCCTATCATGCATTGAAAAGAAGCAAATGCCCTTTTGTACTTGATTGCTCTTTATAACATTTAATAAGTCGATTTCCAACGAGTACTTACATCAAGTCTCAAGCCGATACTCGTATCAATGTTACCAATCGCATTTACTGAGTGTTCAAAATATTTCATCCTACCTTCAGAGCCTTTCACATATTTAATAGAATATCTAATCTTTTTAAATGCCCCATGTATTACGTTCACACCTTCTTGCACAATAAGATTTAATATGTGGGCAGAACAACGAATGTGAAAAAACTCACCACCACACAATAAGCTATCATGCAAAGAAAGTTGCTCCTTCAAAATATCAACCATGCAATCATTGATAGTAGCATTATCTAGAGTCAAAGAAAAGATTTTTTTTTTTTCTCAAACCCCCATTCCTTAAAAAATCAAATACTTTGGAAGCTAATTCGACTCCTGAATGTGGAGGAGGCATAGAAGCAACAAAAGTATTTTACCATTCAATTTTCAATTCTCATCAACAAAATGGGTAGTCAAACAAATATACCCCTCACTTGTGCAAGCAAACCACACATCAGAAGTTAAGCAAATCCTACTACCAAGAGCACACAAAATTTGCTTAAGCTTTAATTTCTCCCATGTATACATTTGTTAATGCCAGAAACAATAGCGTTTCCAGAAATAAAAGGCGCTTCGGGATTTATATATTTCATTGCCATCATATTCAACAAACGAGAATGGTAAGTCATGCTTAATAACAGTAAAAACTAACATCTCACGTGAAGTCTTGGGGTTAACTTTTCAAGATCTAATCTTTCTATCTTTATCAACAAGCATTTGACCCACATCATTAAAATTAACTGCTATGCACTTGAATATGATGCCTCAAAGTAGAAGTTTCATATTTTTTACCCCTAGCTTTGTACTTTTTATCACACGTTTAACATTTTTTTTAAAAAAATTTATCTGGATCCGACACACCAACTCTATGAAAATAAACCCAAACACCAAATCTAACATTTTTCTCTTTTAATTTAGAATCAACTGCATCATTTTTACTGCCATCCAAATCTATACATTCTTTATGTGAAGTAAAAGAATCCATCACAAATCCAACATCTAAAAAAAAACACAAAAAAACAACAAACGGAACCAAGTTCACAAATTCACAATTTCACAAGGTATAAAATTTCACCAAATTCAAGATTCTCACAACAACTTCAGCAGCAACAATTTCACCAAATTCAAATTAGTTTCAGCAACCAGTTCACAAAAATATCTCCAACAAGTTCACCAAATTTCAGTCGGTAACAATTTCACCAATTTTCAACAACATTTCAGTACTTTTAAGCCACAAATCTAAGTTGTTCAACAACATTTCAGTACTTTTAAACCACAAAATTAAGGCTTTCAGCAATATTTCAGTACATTTCAGCAACATTTTAGTACTTTTAAGCAACATTTCATGACGGAAGTTGATGAGCAAAATACCTACAAGGTTACAATCGAGAATGGACTTAACAATCGGAGACGGGGAAAACGGGAATGTGATGGAGATCAGGAACTTCGAGCCGAAGTTCGAGCTTTGGTTGATGGAGACCGAGAGCAGTGCTAATGGACAAGATAGGGCATATGGTCTCAAAGTCGGAGGCCGGAGGCGAAGGTGGGAGGCGATTCACGAAGGCGGACGCTGGAGGCAGAAACAAAGTTCTCCATTCTCAAAGGCGGATGCTGGAGGCGGAGGTCGGTCTCGATTCTTGAAGGCGAACACTTGAGATAGAGGCTAGAGGCTGAGGTGTGAGCGGAGGTCGAAGAATCGGAGGGGAGAGGCCGAGTCGCTGAGAATTGAGATGAGAGGCAGAGTCGTGTGTGTGGAGGCAACAATGGCGATGGCGAGGGTTCACTATGTGTTTTTTGACCATTCTCTCATTAATTCCAAAATTCCCCAACCCAAACTCTCTTAGACAATTCAGGCCAATCAGTCTTTGTACTGTAATTTATAAAGTCATCTCAAAAGTATTGGCTCAAAGATTGAAAGTATGTTTATCCTCTTGCATAAGTGATCATCAGTCTGCTTTCATTGAGGGGAGACAACTCATGGATAATGTAATAATAGCACATGAGGCATTTCATTTCTTGAATAGACACTCTTCAGGTCCAAACTGTATCATGGCCCCTAAACTTGATTTGATAAAAGCATTTGATAGGGTAGAATGGATGATTGTGCAAAAAATCATGCTTCAGATGGGCTTTCACAGGGATTTTGTCAAACTGATTATGATATGCATCTCCACTGCATCTTTCTCTTTTAAGATTAATGGTTCAGTTAGTGGATTTGTAAACCCTTCCAGAGGCATAAGGCAAGGGGACCCCCTGTCACTTTACCTGTTTATAATTGTGGCTGAATTACTTTCAGCTCTTATTCTGCAAGCTGTTAATTTTGGTCATCTCAAAGGACTGAGACTTTCCAAGAATGGACCTCTTCTTTCTCACCTGCTGTTTGCAGATGATTCAATTTCTTCTGCAAAGCAGGTGTGGATCAGGCTGCAGTTCTTATGACAATTCTTGAGAAATACAGACTTTTCACAGGACAAGCTGTAAACTTGAGCAAATGAGCCATCTTTTTCAGCAGGAATACTCCTCAGCCTCTCCAACAGTCTATTTGTTCTGCTCTTAATGGCATAGTCTCCCACAGATCAACTAGGTACCTGGGCTTACCACTTGGTATTGGCAAATTAAAGAAGGAAGTATTTGAATACCTATTAACATCTATCAGGAGCAAACTTCAGAATTGAAAATCTAAACTTCTCAGTCCTGCTGGAAAGGAAGTACTTATCAAAGCAATTGTCCAAGCTTTGCCTGTTTTCTTAATGTCATGCTTTAAGCTTCCTTCATCTCTATGCTTTGAAATATCTCAGCTTTGTGCTAAGTTTTGGTGGCAATCTGGTGACCAGCAAACCAAAGGCATTCATTGGAAGAAGTGGTGCTTATTATCTCTGCCCAAGAAAGATGGAGGTCTTGGTTTTTTGGACCTGCAAGTGTTCAACCAGGTTTTAATTTACAAACAGCTTTGGAGAATAGCTTCCCAACCTGAACTTCTGGTTATAGACTCCTGAAGGACAGATATTTCCCACAATCAGCAATCACTCATGCAACCAAATCTTCAAAAGGATCATGGATGTGGAACTGTTGGATGGAGGTAATCCTATTCTTTTCTAAATGGCTGAAGACTGAAGTCAGGGATGGTGTAGCCACAAAAATTGAAGACTTCAATTGGGTGCCAAATCTGCAGAAACCATCTCCTACACTTATTCCTATTGCAAGAGATCATTTGGGTTAAGGACCTTATTCATGCCAATGGTACTTCTTGGAATGACTGGCTAGTTAAGCAGGTATTTGATCAGAACGACAGTGAGGCCATTCTCAATATTTCCTCTCTTCACCCAGGCAGGCCAGACAAACTATATTGGGGTCTGGATTTGAAAGGCCAGTTCTTTGTTGCCTGTACTTACAAATTTCTGTCTGGAATCAAACTTGCTCAATTAGACATTCTAGAGACCAGTTCCAGCTCCTCTATTAGCAAGTCAGTCAAATACAGGTTCTGGAAGGTGAAAGTTGCAGGCAAATTAAAACACTTTATATGGAAGTGCATTACTGGTACTCTTCCAGTAGCTAGCCTGCTCAGAAAAAAGAGGATTGATGTTGACCATATCTGCTCAATCTGTGGTGAGACTTCTGAAACTATAGATCATGTTCTGCTATCTTGTTCTAGAGCTTGTAGGGTTTGGGATATTGCACCAGTCTCTTGGCATGAAATCAAAGGCAGTACAGATTCTTTTAAAGAATGGTGGTACAAAATCTGCTCCCTTGACTACTCTGATGTCACTGAGGCAAGGATTCAATTATCAACTTATATCCTTTGGTGGCTTTAGAAGTCGAGGAACTTGTGGGTGTTTCAAGCTTCCCTCATACCAGAAGCTAATGTGATTAAACTTGCTCATTCAGATTGGATTCAGTTTTCCTTATCCAATGGTCTTTGATCTTGTTTGTTTTAGTTTTAGTTCTTTTTTCAGGAGTAAATTCCCTTGCTAGGCCTTGACAGTAGAAGGGAATTTTCACCTTGGATTGTTTTCTGTTGTTGTTGTTTGCCTTCTTGTTGAGGCTCTAGACCACTCTCAGGAGTGTCTCCCATTGTTTCTATTTCAGTTTAGTTTTATGTTAAGTAAATTGTATTAGGACTATATCCCCTTTAAGTTATATGATAATCTCTCTATCGTTTTGACAAAAAAAAAAGACATATTTAAGAGAACCTTTTAACGGTTCAGATTTTATATAAGGATTTCACTTAATTTTGGCCACCTAATAATTTATGTATGATTTATTTATTTACTTTTAATTATGTGAGCCGCACCGCGAGTTAGCCTGTCCCAGCCCGCGGCCCTCGTTGGCCAACCTACGTAGGCTCACTACCTGGCCGGCCTAGAAAATAAAGGTCCAACCCGCTTCTTTAGACGGGGTGGGCCGACCCACAAGCCCGAACCCGTTTTGACAGCCCCAGTTAAAACCAGATTTATTTCTTCCTCATGAGCCGATCTACTTATTTTACTAATCTTTCGACACACACGAAAAAGTCACCTCCCTTTACCCAAACGTCTTCCAATAAAATACGTCAAGCTCCTAGAAAAACCTTCAAAATCTCTTGGGGATACGGAAAATCATATCACCTCCAAAGTGGATTTCAGAATCTCACCCGTACGTCTTTTTTACAAAATAAAGTAGATATATCTGCAGATATATGGTTTTAAAAACACACCCCAGTGGAAGGAAAAGACATGTGGTGGTACCACCATATATATTTTGATAGAGACAGATTGACCACACTTATATCTGCGTTCTCCAATCGCAACACATTTTCTCTCGTCTATTTCCTTGTTGTTCTTTCTATCTGCCAAATTATATTTTAGTGGGTGAGCATTTGAGCCTCTATTTTTTATCTTTTTTACTTTTTATTTTTCTGGGCTGTCGATTAAAATGGCGAAGAACGAGATTTTTCCTAGTCTGAAGAGATCGGAGAGGGATGAAGGGGTTGATGAGTTTTCAGCTTACAGTGATTCACATGAAGTTCATGTTCTTGCCGTGGATGATAGTCTTGTTGACAGAAAAGTGATTGAGAGATTGCTTAAAATCACTTCTTGCAAGGGTAAAAATCAATTCTTAAATTTTCTTTTGAGAAAAATAGACTGGTTTTTGTCCTCAAATTCCATACCATTATGAAATGTTGACATTTGCTAGAGTATTTTTGCAGTGACAGCGGTGGATAGTGGGATAAGGGCTTTGCAGTTCTTAGGATTGGATGAAGAGGAAAAGTCTGTTGGTTTTGATGTGAGTCCGAGAAATATATGTTATATATGTTTTTTTTTTTTTTNATTATTGTTTATTTCAGTATATCTAATTTTTTGTGACTGAGTCTTTCCTGGTGTTGATTAAAATTATTTGATGGATTATTTGTTTGGTATATATGCAGGGTCTAAAGGTGGATCTGATAATTACAGACTATTGCATGCCTGGGATGACAGGATATGAGTTACTGAAGAAGGTCAAGGTAAATTGACCACATTTTACCTTTGTACCTGTGAATGATTCATTCTATATATATACACACAGGTTTATTTCAATTTTGCAAGATCACAAATTGCATTGTATTTATGGCAGGGCTCATCTACTTTCAGAGATGTACCTGTTGTGATAATGTCATCTGAAAACATTCTGGCTAGGATTGACAGGTAATTTACTAATTTTATTTACATTGATCTTTGACATTTTATTGTTGTAGTCCTATAGATTGTGATTGATTGATTGCCTTTGCTCTTATAGTTTGCTTATTGAACTGAACATACACAATACTGTTTAGTGTTTGCAAGAAAATATTGTAAATTTGATTAATTATCAATTATGTTGATCATAAATTTCTCCCAAGGGATTACTGTAAAAATTGCTTCTGAAATTTAATCTAGTTGTGAAAGCGACCCAATTTCTTTCAAATTTAAAATATTTTCTTTCCAAGGTTCTATGAATGAACACCACTCTAGAGGATTAGTTAAATTTGTATATATATTAGGCAAATGCTCAACTCTTTGATTTGTGTAAATTGTCTAAAAGACACAATTGTTAAGTGATTGTTCGGTCCTTGAGTAAGAAAGAGCTTGTTTTTTATGCTAAAACTAGGTCCTTTGTGAAGTTTTCTTGTACTTAAGATGATTTTGTGAACTAAGAAAGTCTACTTGCATTCTTCGCCCTTCATCATAGTTTAATACAACTTGCTTACCCAATGAACAGAATCCATTGCACTTATATTTAAGCTTTTTGTGGAAGAAGTTAACTTAATTTTGTCTGCTGTATTATCAAAATATAATCTAGGTCAAATTATTGTATTAGTCCAGCAGGCAAAACAGGGTGTGACTTACAAAAGATAGCATTAGATCCCTTTTGGCAAATTATGCAAAATAAACTACTTAAAGGAAGATGATCCATAAACTTATGAAAATGCTTTGCTATTTATTAGTCCCTGATTTTTACATTGTTTAAATTTTCAGTCTTCCCCCTTAAGCAGCTCAAGTTAAATCTGAAAGGCCAAATATTTCTGTTTCTCACTGTTGAAAAGAAAAACTTGTATCCATTTATTGCAGATTACTATTGAATATAAAATAAATTTGATTGTACATCCTTCTTACCATTCTCGAAGAACTTATTCCCGATTAAGAAAACAATTTAGTTTCATTTATCGATCTATTTTGTTCACCATTTATAATTTTCAATCCTCAGATGTTTGGAGGAAGGTGCTGAGGATTTTATAGTGAAGCCTGTGAAATTAGCCGATGTTGAGCGTTTGAAGGGTTGCATGTTTGGTGAAGGCCAAAACCAATCCAAAAAAGGGCTTAACAAGTTGCAAGAAAATAATAATTACGTTTTACCCGAGCAATCTCCACAGTCTATGTCATCCTTTGTCGATTTATCTCCGAGCCCATCTCCACTGTCCACATCATCATTATCTTCGGACAGCTCGTTTTCTTCTGTACCATCTAGTCCTCGTTCGTCTACACCTCCCGATTCTCCCAAGGGGCCCTTCCAAATTCGCAATGACCAATGATAATTTTTTTTTAACAAATTACGACTTTCTCATTACCTTTTTCCTCTGGACGAGCCGAGTAGCTGGGTTGGTTTCTTGTTATCCATCAAAAGGTTCTATTTTTTTTTTTTTTTCTCTTTCATTTTTTATTATTTTTATTTTGAGCCATATTGGTTTTGTTCCAAGTACATCTCACCATCTCCAAGTCTCTAGAGAGAAAATGTGGATGTAATGTTCATTACAGATAAGCTAATATACATTATAGCAAATTTTAGAAATTTGATTGTCATGCTGATTTTACTTTGTAGTGTAATTCTAATATCTTATTATGATATATCCATAGTGGTTGGAATTGAAAATATGAGGGGATTTGAGAATGATTTTATTCTGATTCGGGGCTTATGATGTCGATATCTTGTCTGGTAAAAGCAATATTAGATTCGGATTTGAAGTGGACATGTTGATGTGTTTGCCTTCCTGGTTTTGGTTTGGAATTATTGACAAATGGGGCCCCTAATTACATCTTGGTGACCAGTTGCTGGCCATTTGGTTTGTTTGGAGTGACACTGGACACCAATAGTTGAATACTTAAATGGAGCATCTTTTTTGGTTCAACAAAAATATTGACCATACGGGATGGTCATAACAAGCCGCTCTTTTTAAATTATTTCATGAGATTTAGCGTATCTATCTTCTTTGTCTCGCCATTTCCAGTGTTTTATCAAGTAGTTTTGATTGTATATACATTTCCACTCCCTTACCAAAGGTGTGGACTGTGGACAATAAAAAATTTGGATTAAATTTAGAAGTTCCATAGGTGTGGAGACCCGTTTTCTCTTCTTAGAGATTTCTCAGTTCCATTTTATGTGGAATCTTTTCTGTTTCCGCTCATTTTTCTCTCTTTTTTTTTGTGTGTCCTTGATTGTATTGTGGGTGGTTTTTAGAGTTTTCACTTCCTCGCTTTTTAAGGTTTCTTTTTGTTATGCTGATTTAGGGTTTGTGGTTGGGCAAGTTTTTTTCGAGCTGATTCTTCAGGTTTGCCAATTTTTGGGGTTTTTGGGTTCCGATATGGAGCAGGAGGTTTTGGATAAGTTGCATAAGTTTAACCTATCTGAGAAGAAGAAAATGGGGGTTACGCTCGACCAGCAAGATGTGGAACCAGGCATTCAAGAATGTGAACTTAGCTTAATCAGCAAAGTGATAGGGGAAAAAAGGGGTTAATTTAGCAGGCCTTCGCACAACATTGGGGGGAATTTGGAGGACAAAACAGATTTTTTCTGTTCGAGCAATCATGTTAATCTTATCCAATTCATGTTTCAAGATAAGGAAGATAAGCAAAAAGTCATCAAAGGAAGCAGTGGTCATTTGAGGGGCAGTATTTGCTACTGAAGAAGTGGGTCAAGGATAATGTGGATTTCAGAAAGGACGAATTGAAGGTGGAATTGTGGGTTTAGATACACAATTTGCCCCTGCACTGTATATTTGCAGAGACAAGTATGCAAGTGGGAAGAATTTTTAGGAACATGTTAGATGTTGTGATCACGGCGACAGAAAATGTGAATGGTAGAATTGTTAGGATCTTGGTAGAAGTTTTGGTGACAGAACCACTACCAAGAGGTTCTACTATTAAATTGGGTGCTGAAGAAAGATGGATAGACTTTAGGTATGAGAATTTGCTTACTTTCTGTTTTTATTGTGGGGTTATTGGACATAGTGATAGATTGTGTGAGACTAAAAGGATGGATATTCAAAGAAATATGCTTAAGACAGGACAGTATGGGGATTGGCTAAGGAGCTCATTTTAGCGTGTAGAGGAATCGAAAGAGAAATTTTCTTAAAGCCCTAGTAGTGGTAAACCAGTTTTTGAAGCAAGTTTACATAGGGAGTGTAGTGAGGGAGAAGGGACTTTAGGGAACTAAAAAATTTTCATCTAGTTTTGTCTAGGGATCAAATTGCTTCCAATGACAAACCTAGTGGTAGTGCTGGTTGTTCTAGCCCTCAGGATCAGGTAATGCTCTAGAAGATAAAGATCAGGAGGGTGGTAAGGGGAAAAAGGCTGAAATTTTAGCCTTAGTTCCTATTGAACTTGATACTAAATGTGAAAAAGTAGGGGATAGTTCTAAACTTATAGACATACCTGCAGGTGAGTATGAGGTTCAAGAGTCTTCCTTAAGTAAGAAAAAGAAATCTTTTATTAGAATAACTAGAAAAATGGAAGCAGACTCTAAACTGAAGTTGAATATTGGTAAGTCAGGTTCAAATTTGGACATTAAAAAATCCTGTGGTTCTAATGGTGGAGGTGACCAGCCATAAGTGGTCCTCAATATTCAAATGAGAGCTCTGGTGTGGAATTGTAGAAGTCTGGTAGGACTCTCTACAATTCCCAAGTTGAAGGCTAAGATTAGGGCCTATCTTCCTGACTTTATTTTTCTGTCTGAGTTAAAAAGAAAAAAGCTTTTGTTAGCACTGTGCAAAAATTTAAATGTAGAGGATAAATGAGAGTTTGTTAGTTTTGCAGGGTATAAAGAGGGTCTTCTTTTGTGTTGGTCTAGGAAAATTTCTATTTAAAAAATTTCTTGCTCCTTTTTATGTTTTGAGGTTTGCCTCTGTTTTGAGGGGGAGACTGAAATTATGGGGGTTGTTTTTGCTTATAGAAGTACTGATGTGATTGAAAGACAGGCTCAGTGGAACAGTTTGTGTAGGTCTAGTGTTAATTGGGTAAGGTGTGGTTTTTAGATGGGTATTTTAATGACATCTGTGTAATGAGGATAAGAATGAGGGTGTTAAGAGAGGGGCTTATAGTTTTGACATGTTCAGAAACATTGTTTCTAAATTGAGAGTGGTAGAGTGTCATAGTAAGGGGCATCATTTTACTTGGTCTAACAGTAGAAAAGAGGGGGATTTTATTGCAGAAAAGTTAGACAGAATTTTTCTATCCCCTGATTGGATTTTTAAATTCCCCAACTCCATTGTGTTGCTTATTTCTTTGATATCCTCAGATAAGAGTATGTTGATTTTGGAAACTGTGGAAAAGAAGACTGAAGGTAAAAGAAAATCCATGTTTAATAAAAGGTGGACTAAGATAGAGGGATTTGAGGAGTGTGTTAAAACTGCGTGGCTTGATTCAGGGAGGGGTCATGTTTTGTATATGTTCTAGAAAAGATTGAAAAAGGTGAAATTTGGATTGCTAAATTGTGCAAAAAATCAGGTGCCAAACTCATCTGTGAGGATAAAAAAGTACTCTGCAAAACTGGAAAGCTTAGGAATTCAAGGGGGGGACAGAGATTGGGAAGAATGGTTGAAGTGTACAAAAAAACTCCATCCGGCCTACAGAGATGATGAATGCTTTTGGAAACAGAAAGCTAGGATTAGATGGTTAAAAGAGGGTGATAAAAACACCAAATTTTTTCAAGCATGTGTCCAACAGAGAAGATATACAAACAACTTGATAACTTGACTAAATCAGATGGGGAGAGATGTCATGGTAGAGAAGAATCTCTGAAGGAGGTGGTAGAGTTTTGTACCTCTGTTGAATCAGAAACCATCGGGGAAAATGTTGAAATCCTATAGGGCATTCCCAATCTATAACTCAAGAGATGAATAAGAACTTATGCAAACCTATGGATGAAAGTGAGATTAGGCAAGCCTTGTTTGACATGAATCCTTATAAAGCACCAAGTTTGGATGGCTTCTCACCCTCTTTTTTCCAATCATCTTGGTCTACTATAAAACAAGATCTTTGTCTTGTTGTTCAAAATTTTTTTATTCAGGGCAGATCCCTAGAGATACTAATAGGGATGGCAATTTGGCCCGGACCCGTACTGGCCCTCCCCGCCCCGAGGCTTTTGGGGGGACTTGACCCACCATGTTTTCAAAATGGGCCAGGTCGAGCCGACCCATTTTATAAACGGGGCAGGTCCAGGTATTGGAATCTGGCTTGGCCCGACCCGACCTGTAAGTGTATTTAATGTGCCTAACATATATTAGGTATGTAAAATGTTTGGGCCTGGTAACTGGTAAGCCCATTTTGAAGCCCAAATTGTTGGCAATATTTTCTAGAATAGGCACCTTTTTCTTATCTTATGAAACGTGCAAGAGGTGCCAGATATGTCATTTTGAGAACTAGGCATGTGTATTTGATGCTTTTCAAACACTTTCCCATTCTATCACCTTACTGCTTAAAAAATACCTTCGATGAAGGTGGACCCCAAAATAAGAGATCAAAGAAGGGAAACAAAGAAAGACTAGAAAGGCAAAAACGAAAGCAAAGCTCAGTTTTGGCTTTTCAAGTAGTAGGATAAGAGAGGAAGAAAAAGTTGGTTATTTTGACTTTTATTGGCTTCGAAGATGAAAAATGGAAGCGAGAAAAGTCGACTAGCGAGTTTTGAGCTTCTAACGAAAGATTTTGATATCACATAGCAAAAAAGATATGGAAAGAAAATGCATGCCACTGGCACCGAAAGAATTCCAAAGTATAGCTAGGAATTCTGAAGGTTTAACAAGAAAATAACTATTTATACCCTCTAATCTGGTTATATGCAAGTATTTGCACTAAAGATTGAAGGGCTTTGTAGCTAATTTAATCTAAAGATCAAAGAGAAGAAGGAAAGAAGTAGAAGAAGTCCAAGAAGAGAAGGCAATGAAAATGACTTCTATGAGAAGATAAATCCTTATTCAAAGACCAAGTTCAAAAAGTGTCAAAAAGTGTGAAAAAAACACTTTTACACTTTTTGGATGTATTAGTTATCAAATTTGATCTAAAGAAGTAAGAAAAAAAAGGAATTAAGTATCACAATTATAAGATGAGAAAGGAAAGAATTTCCCTTCTAATGCTCTCTGAAAACTAATTCAGAGACTAAGAAAAGTGCTTATTTCACCAAAATGACTAAAAATAGGCTATTTTAGGTCATTTTTAGACATTTTTATGAAAGAATTACTTGGTTTAGATTGGTATGATTATACAAGATACTTTTAATTTTGTCAAGCAGTGTGTTGTTTCTAAAATCTCTAGCTGAAAAAATAGGTTTTTGAGTGAAGCTGGGATGGATATCCTTATTAAGTCTATGCTTAATGTCCTCCCTGTTTATGTGATGTCTGTTTTTAAAGTTCCCATGGGATTGTGTGTGGATATTTGTAGAAT